ACAATCCGAAGGGCATCACGAGATATTCGTAGTGCCCCGCGGGGGTGATGAAGGCGGTCTTCCACTCATCTCCTTCCCGGACGCGGATGAGGTTGTAGGCACTACGAAGATCGAGCTTGGTGTAAATGGATGCCCCTCGGAGTTGTTCCAGGGCGGCTGGGACCAGAGGAAGAGGATAGCGGAATTTGACAGTAGCTTGATTGAGGGTACGGTAGTCGATGCAGGGGCGCAAGCCTCCATCCTTTTTCCCCACGAAGAAGAAGCTCGAAGCGGCAGGGGACACAGATGGTCGGATGAATCCGTGGTTGAGAGCCTCCTGGATATACTCCCCCATGGCCTTCTGTTCCGGGATGGACAGGGGGTAGATCTTACCCCGCGGTAGGACCGCCCCGGGCAGCAGATCGATCGCGCAGTCCCATGGCCGATGTGGAGGTAGGGTGGTCGCTTGGTGTTTATCGAAGACATCCTGGAACGCCCGGTAGGGAGAAGGAATCTCGGGAGGATGTCCAGCAGGTGGCCTCTCCACGGAGGTGGTGGAGAGGGGAACGATCGGAATGGTGGTATGAGCGGAGGTCCTCGTCACAGATGGCAGGCAGTGATGGAAGCAGTCCTCCCCCCACCGTAGAATCTCGCCAGTGGACCACTGGACATGCGGGGAGTGGGTCTCCAACCAGGGGCGCCCCAGGATGATCTCGGCCGTGGAGCCCTCCAGCACCAGGAAAGAGATCTCCTCCTTATGAAGCCAGCCGATCTCCAGCCCCAGGTCGGGACTACGATGTCCGACCCGGCCGCGCCCCAGAGGTTGACCGAGGATGGTTTGTACTTGCAGTTTGTGGGGAATGGATCGTTGCCTGGTTTGTAGCCGGTTTAAGGTGGACAGGGAGATGAAATTGGCCGCTGATCCGGAGTCGATCAGCGCCTGAACTGAAAGGGAACGGTTCAGATAAGTGAGAGTGGCCGCTGTACATTTCAAGGGGGAAATGGGTAGTGGTAGGTGGACTGTACTCACAGCGGGCCGGGGCGGACGAATGGGGCAGGTGGCGAGCAGGTGACCGGAGGCTCCACAGTATAGGCACAGACCGTTGGTGATGCGCCGATTTCTCTCGGACACTGGCAGTCGCGAGGTACCAATGTCCATCGGCTCTGGTGCTGGAGGACTGTGATGACGGGACGCTGGACGAGGAGGTGGAAGTGCAGGGCTGTCGAGCTGGCAGGCAGTGCGGCGCTGATCGATGCGAATGGATCGCTGGATGATGCTCTCTATTCCCACGGTGTCATCATAGATCGCGAGCTGAAGACGGATGTCTGAATTCAAGCCATGACGGTATGCGGTGATGAGCGCGCTCTCGTTCCACCCGAGAGTGGCGGCGAGGGTGCGGAACTGCAGAGCGTAGGAGGCGACTGACGATCTCCCTTGCCGCAACCGGTACAGTTGGTCTTGCACCGAGATGGAATGTGCAGACTGCGAGAATACCTCGATGAAATGACCGGAGAAAGCAGCAAACGTCCGAGTAACTGGACCTCGATCTTTCCACAGGGCATGAGCCCAATTGAGCGCTCGACCTCGCAGGAGTGAGATGAAGAAGGCGACCTTAGATCGTTCGGTGGGGAATGCGGATGGATTCATCTCCATGTAGAGCTCGCACTGCAGGAGGAAGCCGCTGCACTCCTGCTCCTCGCCAGAGAAGGGCGCTGGTTGGGCCATGGGACTGACAGAGGCAGATGGGGCAGAAGTGGTGACGGTGGCCGTGGAGAGTGCTGAAGCGCTGGTCCGGGGAATGGTAGGAGAGGGTGGGGTCGGTGTAGCGCTGGTGCTCGGGGTAGGCTGCAGCATGTTGTTGGTCTGGTCTTCTGTCACAGACTAGAAGGACACAGATGGATGAGGGTAACCAGGTTTATTGACACAGGTGATATGGTAGACAGCAGGTGAGTAGATAATGAATAAAGTTCAGTAATCGATCGGGAAACAGTCTGATGAAGTATCTCTTATCTTGAGCAGGGTTGGAAGATGTAGAGCTGAGGCAGCGAACGGATGAGCAGCGGGAGACCGGGGACCAGAAGCGGAGAAGGAGCAGACAGGACGACAGTAAGCAGGTAAGTATATCTCAAAACCAGGGTTTAGAGTAGCGGGAGTCTGTAGCCGGTGTGTCGACGAGACCAGACGGTGAGTGACTGTGAGGAGAGAGTTTATAAAGGGAGGATGATTGGGACGGTGATTGATGTGGGCAGGTGACGGTGATTAGAAGGCTGGGGAGCTGGAACGAGTGGGCGGAGTGAAGGTGTCTGGTGCTGACGCAGATGGATCCGTGACATAACCGAGACGTTTTTTCGCATTTTATTTTCATCTGTTTATTTTTCAAGCACATTTCAACACATTTATTTGAAACAGTGGTTAAATTAACAAGAAATAAAGCTTCAACCCCAATCATTTCCAAACAGCACAGCAGTAATGACTTTTTATTAACTTCCTCACTTACAAGATTGGTAATACTAGGGAGAAAATTATAACTATGCAACCATCTACTACAGTATCGCATCAGGCATTGCATTGTAGTACAATATGCTTTATTTTCCTAAACACTTTAACTCATCTAAATCAACAACATGTATGTTAGACCCTATACCGACAAAACTACTGAAATAGATGCTTCCAGAGGTCATAGATCCTCTTCTTAATATCATTAATTCGTCTTTGTCGCTAGGATACGTACCAAAAACTTTTAAGTTGTCTATGATTAAACCGCTTGTTTGCGAAAAAACGCAACTGGATCCTACACATTTAGTCAATTACAGGCTGATCTTACCTTTTCTTTCAAAGATACTAGAAAAGGCAGTATCCACAACTATTCCTTTTTTAGAAAGAAATGGTATCTGCGAGAATTTTCAGTCAGGAATTAGACTGTACCATAGTACTGAAACAGCTCTCATTAGAGTCACAAATGATTTGCTCTTATCATCCGATCGTGGTTGTATCTCTCTATTAGTGTTACTCGATCTTAGTGCTGCATTTGATAGCTGACCACAACAATCTTTTAAATAGTATTAAAAATTATGTTGGCATTAGTTGAATTGCATTAGCATGGTTTAAATCATACTTATCTGACCGTTACAAGTTTGCAGCAGTAAATGAAGAGATGTCTTATAGATCACAAGGCTCGGTACTAGGGCCATTGCTGTTCACTCTGTACAGATATGCTAACCTTAGGAGATAGGATTAGGAAACCTGGCATTAGTTTTCACTGTTATGCTGATGATACTCGGCTCTAAATTTCCTCACACCCTGACAAAACTCTCCAATTCCAATTCTGCCACTTAATTCTGAAAAAAAAAAAAGAGATTCTAATTATTGGACAAAAAAAGTCCTCACATAATAACCTAGAATACTGTCTAACACTTGATGGCTGCTGTAAAGTCCTCCTAGTCGTTTAGGAACCTGGGTGTGCTCTTTGATACCAATCTTTAATTTGAAAGTCACTTTCTAGTATCTGTAAAACCACATTCTTCCATCTTAAAAACATATCTAAATTACGGCATATGCTTTCAATGACAAATTCGGAGCAGTTGGTTTATGTGTTTATGACTTCAAAGTTAGATTATTGTAATGCTTTTATGGGTGGTTGCCCTGCACACTTAATAAACAAACTACAGCTGGTCCAAAACGGAGCAACTAGAGTTCTTACCAGAACCAGGAAGGAATGACCAAATTAGTACAGTTCTGTCAAAACTGCATTGGCTCCCTATTAAACATCATATACATTTTTAAATGAAAATTAGCAGTTTGCTTCAATAGTCTGTAGTAATTAATGGAATTACAGTAATGAGAAAAAAAAGGTAGAAACTAAAAGTACATACTTTAATTCGAACAAATAATTGAGGGCCTCTCTCTAGCATCAGGCCACAGGTGTTCAGCCTTTCAGCTGAAATTGCAATCAGCAGTGTTTAAAGCAGAAGGCTGAGGCTTTGTTTACACGGAAATGATTCTGAAGAGAAAACGCAAAAGTGGCATTGCGTTATCACTTTTTATTATGCGTTTAGACGAGCGTTTTTGCATTTAGACGAGTGTTTTGGGTGTGAAATCTGCGTGCAGATGGTGACGCAAAAGTCTGTGAAATTCAATGTACAGTAGTATGCACTCCAGGCGGCTAAGAGTGCATACTACAACAACACCAAGCCCGCACGCCTGCGTACAACCTTCACTGTCAAGCAGACCTTTGCGTTTTTACCATTTACACGGGAGCGCGGCAGTGGAACATTTTAAAGATTTCCACTCTGGAGGGTGGTTTCACTTTTTTGCGTTTTTAAGCCCCAAAAACGCCATCGGCGTGTAAACGAAGGGCACATCCGATAAAATATTTTTACGTTTTCACCCGCGAGCGTTCTCGTGTAAACAGGGCCTGAAATCTGTTCAGTACCTACTCAAACAGTATGTTTCTCTAGTCTTGTGTCTAGCTGTGTTTAATGTAATCCTCTATTGGTGAGATTTGTTTAACGATATATATTTATAAGTTCAAGTCCGTTTTGTTCATGTAATTTAGTTATATAAAGTAAGTAAATAAGATATTGGGCTCTCACTCTGACTTCGATTCAGCAGACTTTTCAGCAGCAGCAAAAAAAGGTCCATGAACACATTGTGTGACAACTTCCCAATAGTGTATTTGAAACTAATAAAGTTCATGACCAAGGTTCTCTATCGAAACCTTTTTTTCCCCCTCTTTTGTATCAGTCTGTACCAAGCATGATTCAGTTCAAAGTGTGAATCACCAAAGAGACTGGCTTGCACAACACATGACATTGTTTTTAAACAGGACAGCAGAGGTTATCAAAACAATTGTGAAATAAAGTTTAGGCTTTTCCGGTCTGAGTCATCTTATTAACTGTTGTCTCTACTTCATTCACATATTTTTAGTTGAGAAAGGTAATTGTGTCATTTGTTGTTTTAGTGCCCCTAGTTAGAAAAAAAATGTTCACTGCATCTGTGGTTTTGTGTTTGTGAAGCTTACTTGAGTTTACTGTTGGCTCTGTTGTAAGTAAATGAGGAGGTGCGGACATTGAAGTGAGCTGGAGGTTTAATTACTGACTCGAGGGACGGACTTTTCCTCATAAGAGATGAGGGCTTCAGTTCGTCACATAACCCTGAGAGAGACAGAACCACAGACACACATGAGAATTTTTAAATTGTCTCCTATTACTGCCACAGTTCTATAGAATATTCTATTCAAGCACATATAATAATACAATCTTTGTGGATTTTAATTTGTAATGCTCTAATTAAACAACATTTGTTATCATCTCTCGTGGCAGATAAATTGCCTGGAGAGGATGGCTGTTTTTCTGGCTCTGAAACATTTCCTTCCAGACCTAAGGGGCCATAATGTGCTTGTCCGGACAGACAACACGGTGGTCATTCACCTAAATCATCAGGGGGGTCTGCAGTTGCGTCCCCTTTGAAAATTGGTGCACTAGAACCTCATTTGGCATCAGGGCAAGCTGGTCTCACTAAGGGCAGTGTACATCCCTGGGTGCCTGAATCAAGGAACATACATCATGTCGAGGCAGAGATGAGTTCCAGGGAATGGAGGCTCCACCCCAAGGAGGTGGAGAGTATTTGGAGGGAGTTTGGCCAGGCGGAAATGGGTTTGCATCTCAAACTATGATTGAAACTGTCCCAGAGAAATTTCTAACATTGCTGGCTATAACATCTCTAAAGAGAGTAGGAGATCGTTTTACACTCAAGAACAGGGTACGTACCTATGGTCCCCACTAATGTGGCACGATCTATAGTGTTACAGGCCCTTTTCCTCCTCCCTTTCAGACGTTGGACCAGGAGAAGCTAAACTTGCTATGCCCAGTAAGGGTATTGGATGCTTTGCTTATGTCCACAGAGCTACCCTGTTGTGATAGTCTGATAGATTTTTGTGTGCTTTGGATCACCTAGACAAGGGTTCCCAGCAACCAAGCAAAGGATGAACAAGTGGATAATCAAGGCTATTTCTCTTGCATATGAGACGTGTGGACAACCTACACTTATGGTTATCAGAGATCACTCAACTTGAAGTATGGTGGGTTCCAAAGCCTTGTTGTCGGGGGCATTCCTACAAGAAGTTTGTGTTCCGGCAAGCTGGTCCACTCTATTTGTGAGTTTCTACAACCTAGACTTGAACTCCTATCGGGGTCCTGGATGTTTATGTCCTAGATTGTGCCCGCAAGGATTTACACAACACAGGGTCTTGTTAGTACAGCGGAGTGGGCATTGATGTTCCCACAGCATTGTATCTTCCGACGCAGCATCTCATTCCCTTGAAAGGGAACATCTCAGGTTATGACTACAACCATGGTTCCCTCAAAAGGGAACGAGACGCTCCATCACCCTGCCGTAATTCCTGCATGCCAGTGATTGATTTGCTTTGGCTAATCAGAAGCTGACATCGTTTGGTCTGGGTGTGCTTTATAGCTTCCTGGTCATGACGTCACTTACTGATTTCTCTGATTACACACATGCTTCAAGACGCAGAGGCATTTCCCATAGCGTTGTAACTTCTCATTCCCTTTTCAGGGAACCATGGTTACAGCCGTAACCTAAGAAGTTGTATGGCTTTTGAAACAATGTATTTTGATTGCATTTTAGTGCAATACCTGTTTCAATATACCCCATTTTAGAAACTGTTTTAGACATCAATTTCGGACACAGATATTGACTATTGCTTTGAAAACAATTTCACAATTTTCACAAATTCACAATTTCTGTGTTAAGCGACAATATCACAGATCATCAACAGCTGGTCCATTAAATTTAAATGTTTCTCTACACTATGCGTGTTTAAGGATAACTGAAGTGTTGTCTGAAAGACAACATAATTTGACACGTCTTTATAAAGTACCATTGTGAGAGAAATCTCCAAAGGCGATTCTTCTATCAAGGGTCTTTGACAGTTGCTTGATTCCAGAGTGCCTCTAGAAACATAAAGCACATGTCACTGATCACATACTCTGTGCTCTAGAATAAATGTGTGGTGTATTGTGAGATTTTTAGTACCTGAATTGGTGAGACAGCAGCAGAAGGGGCTGTGCGGACTGGTATGCCACTTAGAGGGCTTCTGGGAGATGTATGTATCTGTACTGAGCTGCAGGGTCCATCTAGCAAAATACATCAGTATCACCATTTAAATGGCCATACAAAAGTAGACAAATAAAGACGAAATAGACAACATTTAAGAGGATACAGCATAATATCCCTTTTTTTAAGTCATCCAATGTAGTTTTTTACTCCCACATGCTTTAAAAACAGCATGCAAGAGTTCACGAAATAATCTGCACCGAAATTTGCCACAGAACCTGTAGAGATCAGACTGAAATGATTAGTGAAATTTTTAAAACAATATACTTGTTTCTAATATTTGGATCTTCTGAAGGATAAGGAGAGCGGCAGGTGCTACAAACAACCAGAACACCCATTAGGTAGGACAGACTTCTCTGCATTTTACTCTTAGCATTTTGCTCTTTAGAAGTAACAGTATCTATTTCGGATATTTCCACAGCGAGACTGGGCAGAAATGTAAATATGGGAGGGCATTTGTTAATATTCACATTTATCTGACATCGGAAATTTCATCAGTAAGTTTAGAAGGAGCAGTTTCGAGAGCTTTGTTTCAATAGATGGTCTTTGGGACTGGAGGGGAAGTTTGGAGTTTGATGTTATCATGGTACAATTAAGTCTTTTATTTCAAAAGTTTAGGTAAAATTTGATTTGTCATAATAAATCTCGTTTAGGGTTCAGAAATAGGGCTCTATCTTGCACCCGGAGCAAATGACTTTATACACTGACGCATTTATCATTCCTATTTTGCACTTTTTTCCTCCAGAGTAGCACGTCGGTAAACTAGGAAATGAACTTGCGCTCCCTGGGCGGGTTGGCGCAAAAAGGAGGCGTGTGTCGGTGCAAACAACCCCTGGTGCTATTTTGCAGTTCGCTCGCTCACTGCGTCACAGCCCGCCAAAAGGGGCGTGGCTACAGTGTATAAAGGTCGCTCTCCCAGCTAGTTCGTCGATTCTGTAGCATGAAGCGAAACGCCAGTGGCGCAAGCACGGCCGGGAACGCAATACTCGTTCCCTCATCTAGAGAGAACCGAGGTTACGTTAGGTAACCGATTCGTTCTCTTACGAGAGGTTCTCTCGTATTGCGTAAGCTAGCTTACGCTACGGGAACACCTGGTCAACGCCGTGCGCGCTAAGTAACCACTAAGCATCCCAGGGGGGAACACCGGGGGAATCTTTAAGTGGATAAAGATAATAAGGCGGCCAGCCTAGCGGCCGTTATCATCTAGTGCAAAACGCCCTAAGGCGGCCGGCAAAGCGGGCCGTGACGTGTAATGCATAAGCACATAGGGGAACACAAGGGGTGAGCCGGTGTGATGGAACTCCCGATAGTGCGGCTTTCTATAGGACAGCTGTACGTATTAGACCGCCAGAATTTTAGCCTGTAAGGCTGGAACTTCCAAGTTATAAAATCTGACAAAAGTGGAGGGGGAGGCCCATCCCGCAGCCACACAAATGTCGTGAATGGAAATTCCGCAGGACCATGCCCACGATGAGGCCATGCCTCTGGTGGAATGAGCCCTGATGCCCAGAGGGCAAGGCAGGTCTTTAGCGGCATAAGCAGAGGCAATCGCGTCTACTATCCACCTGGATAGAGTCTGTTTCGAGGCAGCTAAACCCTTGGTGCGGCCACCGAACGACACAAACAGCTGCTCTGAGCGTCTGAACGCGGCAACGCGTGTAGTGTACACTCTGAGAGCCCGAACCGGGCAGAGGCGGTCAGCGTCACGTTCGCTATCGGATGCAGGCAGCGCCGATAGAGAGATCACCTGCGCCCTGAAAGGGGTACCAATCGCTTTCGGAACATAACCGTGTCTAGGTTTTAGAATGACTATGGAGTCATTCGGTCCAAACTCAAGGCATGCGGCGCTCGAAGACAGCGCGTGAATGTCCCCCACACGTTTTACTGAGGCGAGTGCCGTCAGAAGAACGGTTTTTAACGAGAGGTATTTAAGCTCCACGGACTCAAGTGGTTCAAGCGGTGGGGCTTTCAGAGCTTCTAGAACTATAGAAAGATCCCAGACCGGCACCGTAGGGGGGCGAGGGGGGTTCATCCTTCTGGCTCCCCTGAGGAAGCGGATGATTAGCTCGTCTTTGCCCAGAGACTGGGCGCGCCGGGGTTCAACGAACTTTTTCAACCAAATTTTTGTTGGTGCACCATTTGGAGAACACAGACCATTTTGCAGCATAGCGCTTTCTGGTAGAATCCGCTCTGGCGTGTTTGATCGTGTTCAGAACCCCTTCTGGCAATTCGACGCGTAGTTGTTGGTCACCCATGCATGACGCGCCCAGCGCTGTGGATGGGGATGCCAGATCGAGCCGCAGGCTTGAGTGAGGAGATCTGCTCTGATTGGAATGGGCCACGGGGCTGTCTGTGACAGCCGCGTTAGCTCCGGGAACCAAATCTGATTCTCCCCGAGTGGCGTGAGTCCCTGATTCTCTGAATGACCTGCGGTAGCAGAGAAATCGGGGGAAAAGCATAGAGCGGGCGGCGGGGCCAATCCTGGGCTAGCGCGTCCTCGCTCTTTGAGAAGAATATTGGGCAGTGAGCGTTCTCTTCTGACGCGAAAAGATCTATCTCCGCTCTGCCAAATAGGCGCCACAGCGTTTGGACTGTTTGAGTGTGCAGGGACCATTCTCCGGGGGAGACCAGGTTCCTGGACAGCATGTCTGGACCGTCGTTCAGATGGCCCGGTACGGGCGTCGCTCTGAGCGAGAGCAGGTGACTCTGGGACCACAATAGGATGCGGCGTGTCAGATGAAAGAGATTCTTGGATCTGACGCCGCCCTGATGGTTGATGTATGATACCACGGCCATATTGTCGGAGCGAATCAGGACGTGGTGACCGTGTATGCGCGGGAGGAAAAACAGCAGCGCGTTCTCGACCGCGATCATTTCCAGACAGTTTATGTGTAGGGAACTCTCGTGGCTCGACCACTGGCCGGCGGCCGGTGAGCCCTCGCAAACCGCACACCAACCCGAGTTGGATGCGTTTGTCGAGATGACTTTCCGGCGAGAAAAAGTCCCCATGGTAACGCCCCTCTGAAACCACTCGATTACTGACCATGGCTGCAGTGCAGTGATACATGTCTGAGTAATCTTGATCATCTGGCGGCCCGTCGTCCACTCGCGGTGGGATACGCGGCTCTTTAACCAGAGTTGAAGGGTGCGCATGTGCAGAAGACCCAGCTGTAGCACAGCGGAGGCTGAAGCCATATAACCCAGCATCCTCTGAAACGATTTCAGGGATGTATGGGTACCCATCTGAAAAGAGGCGGCTAGGCGCTGAACACGGCGTGTGCGCTGTGTGGATAAGCGAGCCGTCATAGTGACAGAGTTCAAATCTATTCCCAGGAACGAAATAGTTTGACTGGGCTGGAGAGAGCTCTTTGTCCAGTTGACAGAGAGTCCCAGCGCTTCCAGATGGTTGAGGAGAACTGTGCGGTGCGACAGAAGCTCCGTCTGGGAATCTGCTAGAATCAGCCAGTCGTCCAGATAATTCAGTATGCGCAGCCCCTGACTTCGCAGGGGGGCGAGCGCTGTATCCATGCACTTCGTGAACGTACGGGGTGCTAAGGATAGGCCGAACGGGAGAACGGCATACTGGTAAACTTGGCCCTCGAAGGCGAAACGTAGGAATGGCCTGTGATGAGGGTTTATCTGGATCTGAAAATAGGCGTCTTTCAGGTCTAGAGAGATGAACCAGTCCCCCTGGCGGACGTGCGCGAGGAGTTTCTTGACTGTGAGCATTTTGAACGGTCTCTTCATGAGCGCTTTGTTCAAAGCCCTGAGATCTAAGATCGGCCTGAGGCCGCCGTCTTTCTTGGGAACCAGAAAATAACGGCCGTAAAACCCCGACTCGGTCATAGATGGCGGGACTCTCTCTATAGCGCCCTTCTGCAGTAGCTTGGCTATTTCTAAGCGAAGCGTGTTCATAGCAGCCGGGCTGACAGTGGATTCGAGCCGCACGCGCGAGCGTGGCGGGCGGCGACGAAACTGTAATCGATACCCATTCTTTATTATGCTTAAAACCCACGGGGAGATGCCGGGGATGGCTTCCCACGCTTCGTAGCATGCGGCTAGCGGTTGAATGGCGATTTCGCCCTGATTGCTGCACATAGCGGGCTGGACACTGGGTGTGGGCACGCTTATAATGTGGATGGCAACGGGACTTACACTCAGAGAGGAGTTTATGGGCCGTGTGACAGAGCGGGCAGAGGGGGGACACGCGCACGGGCTCGTGGGCGTGCTTATGTTCTCTGCTACTGGAGCGGATAGCGCTCGCTCCGTGAGACTGGGCTCTGTGAGAGACCTTGGGCATATGGTGCTTGTGTGTGTACGTGAGCACATGCTTGTGGGCACATTTTTTACACTTGAGGCTTTTATGCTCTTTTTGTGAACTCTCTGGGTAGCCGTGAAAACGGCTTTTAGTCGCTCGCAAGCGGGCAGGGAAACCGGCTTGATTGTGGCGGTAAACTCTACTGTAGTCGGCGGTGAGACGGGGACTAACAGTGGGCGAAGCTTTGACGGCGGTCCGGCCGCAGCGGGAGAGAGCCGCCTTTTTCTCAGCTGTGCTAGGCTGACTTCTGTTGATCGGGCTTCAGCGCGATCTTGGGTCGAGGCCCCCGGGGAGGAGGCTGTCTGCGGCGGCTGTCAGAGCGAGAGCGAGGGCGGCCGCCCTGTCTACGCTGGGGCTGCTGAGCCTGCTGAGGCGGGCGCTGCTGTGGAGTTCTGGCAGGTGGCTCATGAGAGCGGCCAGCTGAAGAGCTAGCGCGGCGGGGCAGGAACAAGTTCATGGAACAAGAGTCGCTTTCTGTACCTCGGAGAAGCGGTCAACGATGCCCGTGACGGCAGATCCGAAGAGCCCGGTCGGAGAGATAGGCGCGTTGAGGAACACGGCGCGTTCTGAATCTCCCATGTCGGTAAGCGTGAGCCATAAGTGTCTCTCAGCGACACAGAGGGCGGCCATGCATTTTCCCAGGGCTTGTGCGACGGCTTTAGTGGCGCGAAGGGAAAGGTCCGTAGCGCTTCTCAGATCCGAGAGGATGGGCGGGTTCCTACCGCTGCTCGCCATTTCGCACAAGATGTCGCTCTGGAGCACCTGGAGGACTGACATTGAATGCAGCGCTGCAGCGGCCTGTCCGGCGGCGGCATAGGCGCGGGCATTAAAGTTGGAGGTCGCTCTGCACGCTTTTGAAGGAAGCGTAGGGGAGGAACGCCATCTAGCAGAGGGCGGGCAAAGATGAGCGGCGACCGAGTCCTCGACGGACGGCATGGCAGCATAACCCTTCGCGGCGGCTCCGTCCACTGAGCGCAGCGAAGCGGACACATCAGAGCGGTTACGGGCCGAGAGAGGGGCATTCCAGGACTTCGTGAGCTCAAGTCAAGTCAAGTCAAGTCACATTTATTTATATAGCGCTTTTCACAATACAGATTGTATCAAAGCAGCTTCACAGTGATAACATGAAAGTAGCACAACACAGATCAACAACATTGCTAAACACTAAATAACCCCAACTGAGCAAGCTCAAAGCAAGCCAAAAGCAAGGCGACAGTGGCAAGGAACCAAACTCCATCAGATTGGATGGAGAAAAAACCTTGGGAGAACCCAGGCTCAGTCGGGGGCCAGTTCTCCTCTGGCTTACATTCATATTGTTTAAATATAAATATTAAATATAAATATTGTTTATGAATCAAACGGCGCCATAACATATCGCAGGCGTTGAGTCGTCTCTTCACAGGCGTTGAGTCGTCTCATCACAGGCGTTGGGGCATCCGAAATCCCCGTGAGAGGCTGGACACAAAACTGGACCTGACGAACGCCATTTTTCTCGGGACAAGCGTCCCGAGATAACAGCAGAAAGGCAGATGGGAAATAATTAGCATAATTATTTCCCACTCATTGTGAAGCTCAGGCAGGAATGGTGCAGCCCGGCTACAGGCAGGGGCCGGGCGCCGGTGCAGGAACTTTCCGTCCAAGCGGTTCGGTGGTTGCTCGGGGGGAGGAGACCACTCGAGACCCAGGCGGTTGACGGCCTGTGAAAGGAGGCGCGTTAGTTCCTCCTCGATGCCGGCGCGGGTCCCCGCAGACTCTCTCGTCGATGAGTCGATCGACGACCAATCCTCGCTGTCAGAAGCGTGCAGCGAACAGGAGTCCTTCTCATCCGCGGTGTCGTCGGAGGCAACAGAGCGGCCACTTGGCGGCAACTGAATGTCCGGCTAGGGCGGAGAGGGAGAGCGGTCGGTGGGCGGTGGCCCACATGGATCCGCAGGGGGGCTCCGGCGGCCTCTGGGAGCAGCGTTTCTTCTTCCGCTGCGAAGTGAGAGCGGTTTTGACGGCCTGCAGTCGAGCCCGCAGGGAGGACAGAGGCAGGTCCTCGCAGTGGTCGCATCCTCCGTTAGTGAGGGCGAGCTCTGCGTGATCCACTCCGAGACAGAGAACGCAGATGGGGTGGCGGTCTCCTTCCTCGAGTGAAGAGCGGCATGAGCTGCAGGAAATACGAGGCATCTTTAAAAAGACGCTCAGCTCTTTTAGGGAATGGAATAAAGGATACGCGTCGGATGGCGCTAGCTTGCTGGGCGGCTGAAGGTGGCAGACGGCCGGCTTCCTCAGACTCCGGAGCTCGCTAGAAGGTGCCTTCTCGACGACGGCGGCTTCTTCCCAGGACAGTAGCTCGCTGAATGAAAAAGAATCGACGAACTAGCTGGGAGAGCGACCTTTATACACTGTAGCCACGCCCCTTTTGGCGGGCTGTGACGCAGTGAGCGAGCGCCGTCCGCTCATTGGGCGCAGACTCAGCGCCGCTCTCCCATAGGTTCGTGCATTCTCTCTGAGCGAACCAATGAGCCGCTAGCTAGCCCGCTCATGGTCTGCCTCAGAAGAGACTGCGTTGACAATGATTACAAAATTATGGAATAATTTTTTGGCTTCAACTTCTCAGCAAAGATGAATCTTTCCCCGTAGCGTAAGCTAGCTTACGCAATACGAGAGAACCTCTCGTAAGAGAACAATTGCGCCAATGACCAGAAAAAACCTGGTCTTCAGTCAGTGGCGCGTACGTTCAGATGCTATTTTAAGCGTGCATGCTTGGCCATAATACAGAGTGTGAACAACGCACATACACTGTAGATGATTCTCTCAACTACACAGATGCATTTTACTTTTTGCAAATGATACATTATAAGGAAAAATATATAAACACGAGGGAAATCATTGTTGTGTCCGTGACGATAGGAAAAATAGGCATAAAGCTTACACATTTACCCAAATTATTATATGCATGTTTAACCGAAGCTAATTTGGGTGTTTGTCCCATCCCCAATGTCACTTCTCTTTCTTTTACGGCCCTGACGAGAACATCGATCTCCTCGGCTGTGAACCGATGCTGAAGTGCGTCTGGTAAATGCGCCGTTAAAATAGAATTGCGCCATGGAACAAGCGCACCTCTTTCATCATGCTCTTAAAGGGAATGTGATATGACGCTTTTATTGGTTTATTTCCATTACGCCCAAACCACACCTATGAATAATGAAGCTACTTCAGACCAACCCCTTTTAGTTTTGCGCCAGGCGCAAGAGGCATTTATCCCGCCGGGAAAATAGTAACAGCGCCGCGGGATCCGCCCACAAAGTTACTTGCGCTTTGACACTTGCGTTTCAGATCGTTAATAGGGCTCATAGTTTGTGAAGACACTTATTAGGAGTTATAGTTTGATGTAGCTGGAATAACTGTCTAATGCCACATTAGACTTTTTGATATAAGCCATTGTATTCAGCAGAACATTTTATAAAAATCACAAGCTGCACTAAATTGTATTAATATTGGAACGCTGTATATTATTGTTTCATTTAACAAACTCTCCCATCTAACTTGAATTTTTTTTTGTTGTTGTTGACATTCAGCAATTAATGAGAACAAGTCTTGCTGCCTCACAACCCATATGTTAGGTATCTGTCAAACAAAGACAGGCAGGAATGATTTGAGAGGTCTGGCTACTGTAATAAGAGCCAGATTTTCCTGCTGCCGTGTTACAGATAGATTATGACGGCAGACAGGAGATGTTTGGAGAGCATTACATTCTTAGCTCAGAAAAAAAGAACAACTTCTGTTAGCATTTGTGTCACCATGATAGCGACACGATCTAAACACTTAATCACTGCAAACATATTTTCTCAGAAATCATTTTACAATATTGAACATTTTACTAATTAATACTTCAGATCTTAAAATGAATGTTACAAGAGAGAAGAGGTGAGAAATGGAGAGAACAAGAGTGAGAATGAGGGAAAAAGAAAAGTGTAGAGAAAGGTCATATCCTCACTCGGCAAAGCAGTGTCAAAAGACTTGATGAGGGATTTGACAGTGGCTGCTGATTCTGAGGACGTGTTGCTTCCACTCCCACTGCCGTGGGATAGGAAACCGACAGGTGCATTCTGGGACATGGTCATTCGGCACCAGTGAAGACTGCCATCTGAGTCAGAGGGACAAACATCTTCACTCCATAACCTATCAATCACAGAACACACATACAGATATAGAGACAGGCTAAAGGGGTGTTTCTGTTGGAAAGTAAGACACTACATGTGTATGTGATGAATAAACTTTTTTACATACTTTTATTTACATTGCAAATATAGAAATTATTATATACTTTTCTTCAATGACTTTGTAATACTTGCTTTAAATAATTTTCATATTTTAAAACATACCTACATGCCATTCAATATAAATAAATTAGGCAAATTCCACGAAATTCACATCTCACCCAAACACAATTTTTTTTATTTCATTAAAATAATGTAATACAATGATACATTTAAATCAAAATAAAACCAGGACAAACACGTGGTAAATAAAATTAAATGTGTTTTCACCCCTTTCTCACCCCTGCCCATCATGTATAGATAGACCAAATACAGCTGTAACTTAATTCCAAGTAAGATAACCATCTCATGTGAAACTAAACAAGATACCACACATGAGACATGATACCACACAGAGGAGAAAACCGAGAGAAAAAAAAAAAAAACGAAAAAAACAAACAAACAAATAGCCCATAAATAAGCATTAATTTGTCAGAGTACAAGTAAACTAAATATCTGGTCTGAATAGAACACATGAATATGAGTATAACTATGTTAAAAGATGCAATAGACAAAAAGCATAAATGGATACATACAATAATAGTGTTTAAAAGGATTAATCATAGAAATAACTATAAGAGAATAATCATACAATTTTTGTTATACACCACATTTTATCTTTAATATGAATGAGTATGAATGAATATTTTTTACTTTTAAGTTGCATTCGTTTGGTTCTTAGTTCTCAAACAATTATTTTAATTGTTTTATTAAGAGGTTTGCACAAGAGTTAACGGTAAACTTCAAACATTAAACTTTGCTGAAATTAAATGTCTTTCACTGGAAGTGTAAATCTAACATTGTTCTTACTAAGAATTTTATGTTAACTTTACTTAAAGTGCAATAATTTGTTGAACTTACTTAAAATTTCTTAGTAATCTGTACTGTTTGCATGTGTGCTTTCGTTACTCAGAAAAACCTTGTAAACATTACTTGACTGGTTTGAGTACCATTTTCAATTTGCATTCGATCATTTTCCAGTCATCTTGAGTGTTATTGTCAATACACCTAAATATTTTTGGGAGAACATCAAAATTCTTTAGTTGACTTGTTGATTTCCCTTTCTCACCATTATTGTGATTGATGTTCCCTTTGGTTAGGCACTTGGAACTTAATTTATATTATGGTTCTCTTCCAATTGTTTGCAGTGATGCAACTTGAAATCATGTATTATTTGATTTCAAAGGAAGTGAAGTAATTTATATTTATATATATATATATATATATATATATATATATATATATATACAAACACACATACTTAAATTAATTAATAAATTATATATAACATAAATATTCATGTATAATAATGATCTTTTAACATTTTATTGCTAACGCTTATGGCATACATCTTTAATTGGGTTGATATAATCCCCTTATATTTGTGACAATATCTTGCAATTTTGGTTGAGTCACACACAGACTTCAACATTCAGCATGCAAACCACAACAGTGGTAACATTTAAAAAAAACCTCATTTAATTAATTAGACATTACAATTTTATTTGCTGTCTCTTTTCAGTATAACCCCAATAACGATAGCAAATAAAATTGTAATAAAGCCAAAAATAGTAATATAAAGCAATAAATTTATTCATGCCGCAATGCACTCTGGGAGTACACTTCCTTGGTTCACAGATACTGGAAAGTAAAAGATCAAGTATAGTATAGAAATTATTTTAAGTTACTGGAACTCTCTTGTAAGTGTACACTAAGGCATGCACTTAAGGACTACATATAATTCCTATTTCACTTTACTCAATTTTTTGAGTGCAATCGGTTTGCATGCTTTTTTCAAGTAAGGTGTACTAATTGGATTTTACAGTGTGTTCTGTTAACTCTGCTAAACTATAATAACTAAAACTAAAACTGAAACTAAATATATAAAACTAAATAGAAGTGTGTTCACAAAATAAAAACTAAACTAAAATTAACAAAACAATTAATCAAACTAACTAAAACTAAACTGAAATGTATATGAAGTTTGATGATAAAACAAAAAAAAAAAACAAAAAAAAAACAACTATAATAACCTTGATTCTCATAAATAATGTTCACAAAAACTTTTGGAAGAACAGCAATACTGGGTTATTAAATCAGTTTTGCACAAGACAGTGTTTTATGAATACTCAGTAGTCACTCTTTGAGTCAGGAGAGTATAAAGACAGTCTCCCAGTGCTCTTGTGTGTTGGTATATTAGTGCTAATTCTCCAAAGAACACATAGTTAGGATGAGGTTGTATGTGCACATTTGAACACACTAAATTGAGGCAGAAACTTCATTTTGTACAACAGTGGTTAGATATGCATAAAGTATGCATGCAAAATATCAGCAAGAACACAGCTCTGATGATGCCACTGTATTTTAGGATTAATTCCTAAACTGCTGATATCATGTGTCTTCACTGTAAATGGATGCATAGAAACATGGGAAAATGAGAAGACCCAGTGGAAGTATCCTTAAAAACACACAGAGGCATTACATGCTAGAATGGTTTGATTTATTGACCTCAAAAAAACAGAATACATGGACGACACTTTCAAACATACATTTAAAACCCCATGTGGTAGAGATAAACGGCAGTGTGTCTCTCATGAGAACACAAGTCATTACAGTCACATTAAACAGTACATTTGTAAGTTACATTTGTACATTCACTGAATCACACAATATATACTGAATCATTTAAAGGCAGAGGAAGTGTGTTACTATTGAACATGTAATCCTATTTCGGCACAGTCATGTTATAAACTGTTAATACCAGCATGTGAATTCTGCATCTAGATGAATATGCTCCTGCGAGACATACAACCTGAGTATTGATAAAATGATAGGTTGAGGACCTGATAGTTTATGCTTGAGAGTCATGTCTTATTTGCTTTTATAATTTCTTTGTGATTCACATCCATCGATTTCAGTGAGAAATATCATTAACCAATGCAAATAGGAATGTGAGTGGAGCAGAAAAGTTCCTTCATTGGTTAGTGCTTGTGTAAATCAAATGAAAGCATTTAAAAAAAGTTTTAAACCAACTGGGTTTTAACTATAAGAATCTAATATTTTTTTAAAGGCTATAACAAGCTTGATATGTTGGAGTGTTGATAAGATTTGTTTGTCTGCCATCTAGTGTTGGATTTGCCAACAACAGTGAGAAACCAAGAGTTCATCGTTTGAAAAGTGGCACATGCAAATTCCCAAAGTTTTCATGTAACTCAAGTCTGTTATGCTAATGTGCCTAATGTGTAAACATAGAAAATATAAAAGAAATAACAGAATAGAGGCAATTAAATGCTGTTCAATTACATGCATTTATATATATATATAATTCAAGGTATAATTATTTTAGGCAGAAACAGCTCTTTGGCTGCTGTGGAAATAAAAATCATTAAGACAAAATCAAAAAGTGCTGGTAGAGTATTAAAGTTCTGTAAATGTTGGCTTTATTCCTAAGGCAGCACAATATACAAAGCTATTTTGTACTTTAAAAATACAGTTAAGGATATAATAAATTAATATCACAGATACATCCTTACACAATTTGTTCACTTCGTCTTTCAACTATCCCCCACATTTCAGTTGTCCTTGCTTAAAAGGTGCAACAACAAAAGCCTAAAACAGGTAAAACGATCAATTCAAACACATTTCAAATAGTGCAGGTGCTGTTTGATTTAGAACAAATATCTCCTCTGAGAAGATGTGAAAACATCATGTAATCTGTTCAGAATATGTCTCAACTTCATCTTCATGAATAATACTGACATACAGATAATTATTACAATACTGTGAACCAGTCATTGGTTTTAACTCTATCTATCGCCCCTCAACTGCAGTCTTGGAGGTCTCAAATGCAGATCCAGAGGAGATTCTAAAAGAAACACAAAGAAAACAATGGTGTCCAAATTACGGTATATTAAAAATACTTGCTAAATTGAGTTTTTTTGGATGAAAGCCTGACTTTTGAGATGAGTAGCATCACCAGTTATTGAGTTTCATTTATAAAACACATGTTTTCATCATGGCAGCAAATGCTCATTTGTCACCATCAACCTTCATGTATTTCTCTGGAAATCAATAAACATCTGACATTTTTTTACAAGCAGATTTATAAGCATGTCTGATGACTGGAAGAAGAAAACCTTCAAACTTTTCCAGAAACATGAGATATTTGTTTGACAATCTGTGTGCAAAAATCATAGCAAACAGCAGATGTCGCCACATACAAAGATTTTGAGGGCAAGAACTTGAAGAAAAGGAAAGCAGACCAAACAAGCAAAGCAGACCCAGCCCCTTCTGAATAAAATGAGACAGCCAATATAGTAGTATTGTTCAAAGCAGTGGGCGGGTGGCTAAGGCAAGGAAAACAGGCAAGACACAAGCTCTTGAACATCCTCAATGATTAAATCACTCTGACCATCCATAAGTATTCATACTAGCATTCAGTATAAGTGCTGGGGCTGGTGCTAGCAGTGCACTCACCTGGGTCAGAGGGAAATCCTTTAGAGAGCAATCTCAGGGAGCATCGGAGGGAGTGGGGAGATCGACACACACTGGCTGAACGTTTGCACGGAGGGGAAGAGTTTTTAAATATTTAGCAACTCAAACGCATTACTTATAAAAACGTCATATTTTATTAAGCCCATCTCAAAATACTTAAACCAGTATACAATACATGCACTCAGGCTCATAATCGTATTGGATTTCTATTATGAAGTGCACAGGTCTAGTGTCACATGATAATAATAGGGAAAAAAGGTTGTTGCTTGCACTGCAGTCTGATGCATATGTGTACAAAGCTAGTAGTTCACAAAACATTGAAAACCAAAGCATTAATTCCAGCCCAACACCAGAGAATAAACGCTATTTGACACTATTTGAGGTAAAGATGTTGCTTTTCCCTAAACAATGTGTATGTGTATTTCTTGGGGGAAATATAATATGCCATAATTATATTTCATTATAATATACCATAATTCATATATTATGGCATATTATAATGCAACTTATTAGGCCTATATTTATAGAATGGAACTGGTTGAACTGGTGCTACCAACTCTTTCAGTTGGTCGCACCTGCATTTGATTTGGTGGAACTTTTTTTTTTTTTTTTTTTTGCTACATGGCATGGGATTAATCAATGCTGATGAATAGTGGTTTTAATGGATCAAATCTAGCAAAGGCTTTCTGGGTTGCAGCATAAATACTTTTAATATATTAATTATCATTGCCAAATTTCAGGATTTTCATGGATTTTGGACACTAATTTTAATCTGTAATTTTAAGCATTTTACATTTGAATTATTACAATCTAACTATTTACATTTCAATCAAAATCTACTGTATCTATCTATCTATCTATCTATCTATCTATCTATCTATCTATCTATCTATCTATCTATCTATCTATCTATCTATCAATCAATCAATCTGTCTGTCTGTCTGTCTGTCTATCATCTTTCTATCAGAATCATCTTTCTATCTTTTAAAAATCATTAAACATTCAAATGCATGCATTACATTTTAAAAGATTAGAATATTATAATAAACTAATACAGATTTTTCATTATCAAAGTTTATAGTTCTCACAAAAAAAAATCTCACACACCTTACCTTTTGCACTTTATAATAATTTCCTTTTCCTCAGTCGAGCGATTACTCTCATCAAACCACTGAAAAGACGTAGGAAGGGGCACGCTGTTTCGTGAGACATTTTCACTTTTATATGCCTAATTGGCACGTTTCACCACAGTGTGCAAAGCGCGTGACTTCTACGTTCTTCAATAAATAAACTGCATGCGTCTTGCGGAAGAACACTGTAGCCGGAGCTACTTCTCTCCATTAATGCTATGGCGAGTCACGCAGGCACTGGGCAACTCCGCATCCGAGTCGACCCCAGGATAAAACAGTTCAAATTGAAACACTTATTATAGGTGTATCGTAGTGATTCAGGATAATTCAAAAACACGTTTTGGAAAATGGATTCATGATGTACCCTACTCATTAATTTTGAACATAAGTTACGGACTGCAGCAGCTGATACAACGGCGTTATGTTGCGCGAGTGTCCACTCTCAAGGCTTTCTGTAGCCTTGTACAAAATTATTCAATAGAATTAGACTTCTAGAATGTTAATTCAAGTGCAAAAAATAATATTTTTAATTTAGTAGTTTATCATAGGCTACGAATGTCTTCGGAAACTCCTTTTCCTCTATTTACTGAAGCCTATATATAAAACGCATTTGCAGCTACACAGCCGTGTATATATATCTATGCTGCACAGCTAGCGGCACACTGAGCGTCTGGCTCACTCATAGGCTGTGCTGCTACAACTGCACATCCAAATGGCGCGGGCGCCTCTGACGTACGACCAATGAGACAACTCTACGTCATTACACGTCAGAGCCCGCCAAGGGGGCGCCAAGTCTCAGAATTTTCGTTCATTCATAGTCTGTCTGACATATATATTAGAAACTATGTGTCTGTCATGGATTTGCACTGAATTGATTCTCAAAAATACGGAACAATGTTCGTTCCGTATCAGTTCGATACAAGACTTTTATGCGTCAAATACGGAACAATTCCGTATTATACGGAACAGTTGGCAACCCTAGAGGTGAAGTATCCCTTTAATGAATTAACGAGTTAATAAATAATAAAAGAAAATATAAATATTAAGTAAAAAAAAATAAAAATAGAAGAAGTTGAAGTACAAAAATGACTAAAGCTGAAACTAAAATAAATTAAAGATAAACTGAAATATATTTATATAAAAAAAATCAATAACAATTGAATAAAAATGGCAAAAGCACATAACAAATTACTAAAATGTAAAATAAAATTAAAACTGAAAATATCAAATAAAAGCTATTAATTTAAAATGTTAATAAATAGTATAACAGTATATAAACAATATTTAAAAAACACTGAATATTCAATAAATATCCAACCGTTTAAATATCGTAACAATTTCTAGTAATAATCAAATAAATATTTAATGACTACAATGCTTTGTCTAAAGTTCATTCAAATCTGTTGTGATGTGATGCTATATATTCTACTCCTTTAAGCTGGTTTGAAATGTTCCCACTTAAAAGTTAAAAAAACAGAAACTGAGCAGCAAGGCAGCTGCCTTCGGACTCAGCAGGTGATATCTTTTTGGGCTGTATCACAGTTTGTAGATACTATACACACAAAAATAGAGTAAATAGATGCAAGAAAGTGTATAAAAGCAGTGGAGTGAGGGTAATTTTGCATGACTACTGATTTGAGTGTTCATTGGTACAGTTTACTACAGTCTCTAAAATGTCAGACATGAATTTCAGTTAGATAAAATGTCAAATGACTAATTTGTATCTGATTGTGAGATTATATGATAATTTGACTTCACGATGTAGCAAACTATACCAGTTAACCCAGCCAGTGGGTGTCAGAGATTGATCTTTGCATAGAAGAGAGTTTTGTTAGAGTTGAGAGCCCAGATAGATGGCAGACAGGAGGGCAGTGATGGGTTGATGAGTGACTGTGTACCTGGTGCCCTGAATCTGCTCCAGCTCTGAAGCCAGTCTTGTGCTGTGCTCCTGCTCCTCCTGCAGACGTCTGTGTAGTGAGCGCAGCTCCTGCTGAGCTTCCACCTTTATGTCATTGGCGACCACTACTGCTGTCTGGAGGTCTGCCTGGAAACGCCGCCACTCCTCTGTCTCATCCTGAAAGTGCACACACACATGAATTTTAGTCACATGGAGTTTAGTCAACATAAAGTGTTTTGGCCTTCTCATGGGCTCATGGGGCTGGTCAAGGAAATGTTATTTTCAATCACTGCGACTGATGGGCACTGACATGGTAGACTGCAATACAGCTTGCATTTGCACCTCATAGTTCTGTTCAGATGGAAGATTATTTTTTTCTTGAATTATAGAAACTGACATAGACTGTCAAGCATGCCTGATTATTTTGTAGTTTATTACAAAAAGAAGAAAGTACAAGAAAAACAGATTAACAATTCCACCTTCATCTGTTTATTCATGGCCTTAATCTGTTTCTCCAGCTCAGCCTTGTTTTCTTCCAGCCTCTTGATCTCATCTGAAAAATAAGGACAAATAAATTTTTTTAAATAATAATAATAATAATTCACAAAAAACGTCTTGGGTTATGACTATAACCCTTGTTCCCTGAGAAGGGAACGAGACACTGCGTCGATAAAATCGACTCTTTGGGGACGCTCCCTAAGTGTGCACCTCTGAAGTATGAATGAAACTAATCCAATCCTGATTGGTGTTGCGTCGTGATGTAACATGTGACGGCATACCCGGAAGTATTAAAGTGATGCTGTCACAACACACACTAGCCTCGCGATGAAGCAAGACACGACGCAGTGTCTCGTTCCCTTCTCAGGGAACAAGGGTTATAGTCATAACCCGAGACGTTCCCTATCGAGGGAACTCAACACTGCGTCGATAAAATCGACTCTTTGGGGAACGAGTGCCCACTAGACCACGCACCGAACAGACCCGCCCCGGAGTGAAACTGTATAGGCACTTCAGCAAGGGCTGAGTACGTGTGCACCGGGCGTACTGGGAAGGTGGAGACAATAAAACCTAATGAAAGTATGTGGGGTAGCCCAACCGGCTGCCTCACAGATCTCCTGCAGACGGACTCCCGAAAGAAGGGCCCTAGAGGAATCCATGCCTCTAGTTGAGTGAGCCCTCAAGGCCAAAGGTGAAGGCAACCCGCGCACCTTGTAAGCCTCAGTAATAGCCTGGACAATCCAGTTACATATACAGTCTGTTTGGTTGCCGGGAGCCCCCTCTTAGGTGACCCAAAACATACTAACAACTGGTCCGACTTTCTCCAAGAAGCGGTGACACGGCGACACGACACCCCCAACACTGGCCCTTGGGATAGGAACCAAGGTTTCTTCCATATTTGCAGAGAACGAAGGCACCTGCGCGTTACTCTGATCATTCGAAACGGATTCCCCCTGGGGGAGAACCCCTTGGTTTTCAACCACCACTGAAGAGGCCTCATGTGTAGGAGGCCTAAAGGGATAATATTGGATGCCACTGCCATGAGGCCCAGCATCCTTTGAAAGTGTTTTACAGTGATGGCCTGGCCCAGCTTCACCCTGGATACCATTGCCAGAATCGACTCGATACGTGCAGGAGACATTCGTGCCTGCATTGTAGTCGAATTCCACACGACTCCTATAAAAGTTGTGGACTGGGATGGTTCTAGCACACTCTTCTTCATATTGAGTCTCAATCCCAAATTTTGAATGTGGCCAAGAACGACATCTCGATGCCGCACTGCCATCTCCCGAGACTAAGCCAGAATGAGCCAGTCGTCGAGATAATTCAATATGCGAATCCCTTGAAGTCTCAGTGGAGCAAGGGCTACGTCCATACACTTGGTGAATGTGCGGGGAGAGAGTGCTAGACCGAATGGAATGGAACCCAATATTGGTAAGCTTTGCCCCCGAAAGCGAACCTCAGGTATCTCCTGTGACATGGAAGGATGGAGATGTGAAAATAGGCGTCTTTCAAATCTATAGTGACAAACCAGTCCTCGGACCTGATTTGACTCACGATTGCAGGAATGGTCAACATTTTGAACTTGAACCTCCTCAGAGATCGGTTCAAAACCCTGAGATCTAAAATTGGCCTTAAACCCCCATCCTTTTTTGGAACTATAAAGTACCGGCTGTAAAACCCGGACTCCCTGACTAACGGAAGAACACGTTCTATGGCTCCCTTTGCACTTCTTGTTCCAGCACCTGAGCCTGCTCTGGGACCACCGTAGTCTGCACCACCCCAGAAAACTTGGGGGGGGGCGGTGCACAAACTGCAGTCTGTACCCAGCTTGTATTTTCTGCAGGACCCACGCAGATATGTTGGGAAGATGATACCACCCCTCTACAAAATCTACTAAGGGTACCAGCCTCTCGAGACTGGCCTCTGGTGTCTTCTGAGTATCTTTTTCGACTACCTGAAGCGGAATACCGGCAGGCTGTAGTCGATATGGTCCTTGCAACCATAACCGATGCTTTATACTCATATTTTCGCTGGAAAGTGAATGCGGCCCGAAGCGCTGCTAACGGCGGGCATGCATCTTTTCCTAGAGGGCTCCGCTGCGAGAACAACCTCGGTTGCCTCACAGCGGAGGGGGCAGCCCTCCGAGGTCCCACCACAGTTAGGACCTCTTTCCCGAAGCCCTCCTAGCCTGAATGACGTCCCTCAGGTTGCCCTTCTGGCTGGAGGACTTGGAGTGTTTCCTCTGTTGCCAAGTTCCCGGAGGAGGGGCTCTGGAGGAAACGCTCTCTTTCTGCTCTGCCCTGTGCGAGGAGCTGGCTGATGGCTGGGGCTGATCACTTTGCCCCACCCTACTTGAGTTGGACTTTGACTTTCGGGGGATGTACTGCTGGAACGTCGCAGATTGTTTCTTCGTCTCCTGAAACCTGTCAACGACCGAATTAACGGCGTCGCCGAACAGGCCAGAAGGCGAAAGCGGCGCATCCAACAGAAAGGACCTGTCTTTGTCTTTTATGCCTGAGAGGTTTAGCCACAGATGTCTCTCCGTGGCCACCATGGCGGCCAATGGCTAGGGTTGGGAACCGAGAACCGGTTCTTTTCCAGAACCGGTTGTGTTTTTGAAAAAATACCGGAACCGTGCAAAATTCCTAAGTTTCGGTTCCGAAAACGGTTCTGATGCCGATGCGATATCATCATGTGGGCGAAGTGCTGGGAGTAGAAGACGCAGTCTTATTCCTAAATGACAAAAACTTCACCACTAAAGTTGCGATTTGCTCTCACACGCGCTGCATTTGTCACACACAGACACACGCACGCTGCGCGCGCCGACCGCCGAGTCACTCTCTAGCCTACATTCAAATCTGTTTGCGCTGAGAGAGAGAGAGAGAGAGAGCAGTTGTCGATATGAAACTGCTTTACAATCACACAGTCTCAATATTTATTTGTTTCACATATTCAAATGATTTCCGTTACAGAATTAGTGAGATTATAGTTTGAGTAAACATTGACGGTAGTGGTCAAAACAGATGCAGTCCGTATATTTTTTGTGTTCAGAATTTACAAAATATATACAATGAGCGAGTGCATCATAATGTTTTTTTTTCAAACCGTGTTTTTGTCTTATCTTGAATCACTACGTAAAGCCTGTAATAAGCGTTAATACTCGGACTTCTTTAGACTGGCCGGCGGATCGCAGCTGCTGCGGAGTAGCCCAATGCATGCGTGACTCGTCATGGACATAAACAGAGAGAAGTAGCTCCGGCAACAATGTTCTTCCGCAAGACGCATGCAGTTCTGTTTATTAACTGCTAGAGCGCCGATTTATCCAGTAATGAAATAAGTAAAGTCTTTATGAATCAATCATTCAAACCGTTTTAAAAAATAATCTGTTCTACACACATATGTGTGTTAAAGCATATACTATTCCTTCTGAGAGGGTATTCTTCACTGTTGGAGATACAATAAAGGAGAGGTCTAAATTATTATAGAGAATGCAGAATTTTTTAATTTCCTTTATATATAATTTTTTTTTTTTTTTGCAAAGATTGCTTAATAATATTTTGAGTTTGTTTACATTACCAGTCTGTTAAACTAATTTGTCATGTACTATAAGAAATAAACACAAAAAGGATTGTGGATTTTTCTCTTACTAATATTTTTAATTGAATGGGAACCGGAACCGGAACCGGAATCGTTTGGCGGAACCGGAATCGGAACCGGAACCGGAAAATTTCTCACGATTCCCAACCCTACCAATGGCGCGGGCTGTTTCTCTCGTGGCCCGGAGACAGATCTGTGGCCTTCCTAAGCTCCGCGACATCCTCCGGAGTAGGCCCCTCCCCCTCGTCCAAATCTTTCAGGAGATCGACCTGGTATGCCTGCAAGATCGCCATAGAGTGCAGACATGAACCAGCCCGACCTGCCGCCATGTAAGCCCTGCCAACCAATGCAGACGTCTCTCTGCAGGGCTTACTGGGCAACACCGGGTTTTTCAGGGAAGACGCTGATTCAGGAGAGAGATAGCTCTCTAAAGCCTCCTCCACCCTCGGCATCTTCCCATATCCCATGTCCCGAGCCCCCAAAACATTGCTGTAATCAATAACACTGGGACTCGAAACACGGGACGAGTGTGGTCTTTTCCCCGGTCTTTTCCCACAATCTCGTGATCTCTTTATGGAGATCGGGGAAAAACGGCAAACCCCGGCGGTGAGGCTGTGACCTGCGCTGCAGGAAACGCTCGTCAAGCTTGCTTGTAACTTGCGTTTCCTGTTCATTTTGTGGCCAGCTGATGTTTAGTCTGGCCACAGCGCGAGTCACAACCTCAACCAGCTCCTCATAATTTAGGCCTCGTGCTGGCGTGCTGAACTCACGTTCGTCCGTATCAATGCTGAGCACGTCTACTTCCTCAAGCAGACAGCTCAAGCATTGGGACCTGATCGTAGGCAGGAGAAACCGCAACGCGGGCTACCACACCACTCTCAGAGGCTGCAGGATCAGCAGATGGAGAACGAGAACATGCCTCAGCATTCTCGCTCCCCTCTGCCAGATCCCGCTGCGAACCCCAGGATCTCAATCGCCGCATCGCCTCGACGAATGCGGGACCAGAACCCTGGGGAACGCGAGCCTGACCGTGCTCATCAAAGCACGCCAACCGGGAGCGCAGCACTCTAATAGGCATAGCCTCACAGTGTTCACAAGCAACCCCCTCGAGAGCTGCCTGTGCGTGCTGCACTCCCAAACAACTCACACATAGAGAGTGTGTGTCCCCACCCGTGATGTAACGAGGGCAGGGATGCACACACCTCTTGAATTGCTGACTGGCCATAATTCTTTATATATATAAGACAAACAACACCAAATAAGACACACAGTTTCAACATAGAGCGCTTGCTGAAGAGCGAAAGCTAGTGTGTGTTGTGACAGCGTCATTTTTATACTTCCGTGTATGCCGTCACATGTTACGTCACGACGCAACACCAATCAGGATTGGATTAGTTTCATTCATACTTCAGAGGCGCACACTTAGGGAGCGTCCCCAAAGAGTCGATTTTATCG